ATGAAATTACGTATTATTTTAATAATATATTTAATCTTGTCTTTAATTCATCTGTATTGTATTAAACTGTATTATTTTATCTAATCTATCTATTTTTAATACTTCAAACGAGCCCTATATGTACGTACAAAAGTTTAAGCTTTAGCAGATACTACTGTATACATCCTGACATCTCTACTAACTGAAGTTGGAAACTTAGGTCTGAAACCGAAATTAATACCATTCCAATACATCTAACTATGGAATAAAGACAGACGACTCTTGGGCCCCACAACCTGAACCCCCATATGTGGCCTTTAGCACCGCCTCTCCCTCCCTGTCCTCTCTCTCTCTCTATCTCTAACTAAACTCCAAAATCCAGTTCATATCCTCCCTGAACCACTTTCCCAGTTTCACGTGTGGGTCCAAATGCCACTTATGTAAACTCCTGTTCTTGTACTATGTATAACATAACAACTAGATAACATGCACAATGGTAGAATACACCCACGCGCCGCCGCGGCTGCCACCTTTGCACCAGCCACCTACACCTTTTTAGGTCAAAGCTTAAATTACCCCCGAGTTAATTATCTATTTGGCCTGCAAATTATACTTTTTGTGTCAATGAAGTACATAAAATATATTTTATGTCAATTTAGCACCTAAAATATACCATTTGTGTTGNCTTTTTGTGTCAATGAAGTACATAAAATATATTTTATGTCAATTTAGCACCTAAAATATACCATTTGTGTTGATGTGATTTTTCTACTTAAATTCGGAGTTAATTTTAACAGAAATCATCAGGCACGCATCACATGAGTCGAGGATTGGATAATAGTTTAAAAATCACCTGTGCACTTCTGTTAATCTTAACTACGAATTTAAACATAATGAATATATTTAGGGACTAAATTGATATAGAANTTGTGTTGATGTGATTTTTCTACTTAAATTCGGAGTTAATTTTAACAGAAATCATCAGGCACGTATCACACGAGTCGAGGATTGGATAATAGTTTAAAAATCACCTGATGTGCACTTCTGTTAATCTTAACTACGAATTTAAACATAATGACTATATTTAAGGACTAAATTGATATAGCGNCTACTTAAATTCGGAGTTAATTTTAACAGAAATCATCAGGCACGCATCACATGAGTCGAGGATTGGATAATAGTTTAAAAATCACCTGTGCACTTCTGTTAATCTTAACTACGAATTTAAACATAATGAATATATTTAGGGACTAAATTGATATAGAACGTAATAGGAGGACTTGATTTACACAAATAGTATAATTGGAGTAAATAGATAGTTAACTCATTACCTAACTCATTACCCTTCATTCCAATTTTCCCAGTTTGGCTCCACCCTTTCACCGGTGGCGCGTGCCTAAGCGCGTGGAGATTACCCATCACTTAAAAAACAGTATCACGTCGACGGGGCAACCGCCGGAGATAAATAGACCTGACTTTGTATCACCGTTTTGCCAATCTTGAAGCCCGGAACCACCGTGAACCCCACCACAAAATCGCTGTCAGCCACCGGAAAAACATCGTTGTCCACACTGTCCATATATACTTCAGAAAATGTTGATCTCTTTTTCGCTTGAAAAATGCTGACTTCTTGATCAAAAGAGAACGCCAAACAGTGTAAAAGCCAAACCCTTCTCGCCATTTCAGCAAATGCTTTGAAAAACTCCGTTTCTGGATACTCCCCAGAATTAATTTTCTTTCGCTGATTCAGATTCCCGGAAAATGAAGTCTCCATTTTCGGGTGAACCAAAAGGAGATACTTGGTCTTCAAGAACTTCCCAAACAAAGAATTTGTATTTTTCTTGAGAAAATGAATTGTACCCACTGATTTTAACATCTTGAACTGATCAAAGAAGAAAAATCGACTCAAATTATCATCTGTTAAAGCCTCGTTTAGGACAGAGAAATTGGGTTTGTTGAACCCATCAAACATTTCTTTGCACACAAATGATTCANAACCCACTGATTTTAACTTCTTGAACTGATCAAAGAAGAAAAATCGACTCAAATTATCATCTGTTAAAGCCTCGTTTAGGAGAGGGAAATTGGGTTTGTTGAACCCATCAAACATTTCTTTGCACACAAATGATTCAAAAGCGAAACCTTTGTGATTTGTGTTCTTGAATATAACTCCAGACTCTATGGCATTTGAAGCAGCTTCGATATCCCAGTTCGCAGACTCCATTTCTCTGATCAAAAGCTTCGCAGAGTTCCTTATAGATCTCAACCCATAATTCAAATTCATTGTAAAATCTTTTGGATTTGAATCAGATAGCTTAACATTATCAAGAATAGAGAAGGGATCTTCAGATGGAGCATCGATCAGATGACAATGACGAAGGTAGACAGCGAGAGGAAAGAGAAGGGATCTTCAGATATGGATTTGAAGTCGTTTTTGGTTCGGGCTGGTAAAAAAAAAATTACAAAAAACACCCAAAAACGGTGTCGTTCCACTTAACCGCATGTCATGCGGTTTTCTCCCAATAGCAGAGGATCTGCACCCTTCTTCGTCTGCTGGACATGTAGAAGTCCTCGATAGATTTGGAGAAGTCCACTACAGATCTGGAGAAAAAGACCTTGATAGATCTGGTGAAGAAGACCTCGATAGATCTGGATAGAGCAATCAGTAACAAAGCTGATCTCCTCTTCATCTGGATCTCCGTNGGTGAAGAAGACCTCGATAGATCTGGATAGAGCAATCAGTAACAAAGCTGGTCTCCTCTTCATCTGGATCTCCGTTTCTTTGTTTGGTTCTTACTCGAGCTCTATTNAGAGAGCTTAACATTATCAAGAACAGAGAAACAACCACTTGCATTGAGTTTCTTTTCGAGGGACTTGTTGTTCAGACTGGTCTCATTCAGTTCTTCCTTTAGTGAAGTAATTTCAGACTCTCTTTTTTCAACCTCAGACTGCAATTTCTTCATGGTGATCTCGTATGTCTTCATGAGACTCTGTTGTTCTTGGATTTCTGCGAGTAAAATTGTCAAATAGGGTGGTGAAGAATCGATCTGTTTCTTCAAGAAACTGTTCTTTAGCTCTGAAAGTGCTTTAAGTTCATCAACTACTGCTTTGTCTGAGGACTGTACAGAATCCACATTGTACGGAAACTGAGCCATTTGAAGCTCAGCATAAGCTGCTTTAACTGCAGAAACAGAGGCAAAGAGCTTGGAAACGAAGGCTTCCATGGCAGCTTTGTTCTTTGACTTGACTTCATCAGTGTCTTCTTTGTTGAAATGTTGATTTGGACCACAAAGTTTGAGTTTTTCTTGAGGAATTTGCAAGCAAAATCCATTGTTTGAGAGGGGTTTTGTGGCTTTTTTGAGGTTGATTACTTTCTGGAATGTTTTTGCTAGTCTGCTTTTGGTTGGGGCTGAAGAGNTTGAGGTTGATTACTTTCTGGAATGTTTTTGCTAGTCTGCTTTTGGTTGGGGCTGAAGAGAGTTTGATTGAATCCATTTGATTTGAAGATGGAAATTTAGGGGAAAAATGTGGAAGAGGCTGAAGAAGAAAATAGGAGGGTTTTAGAGAGAGAGAGAGAGAGAGAAAAAGGGTGGTTATGAAAGTGTTTGGAGGAAAAGAAAACATACAAAATAGAAAAGTAGTGGCAGTCCTTTGACTCTGAGGTTGCAGCCGTAGATGGAGGTGGGTAAAGCTGGGTTTAAAGCGCGGGAAAAGAAAGATAGAGATGATCTACATATAGAGGGTGAACAGACGACACCGAAAGAGGGATTTGATTTTAATTAAAAAAAAACTATAATTCATGACGTGTATTAAAGGGGTCAAAATATGACATGATTTGTTAATACGATATACACATGATATAAAAATAGGAAGTTTAAGCCTTTTTTAAGACTTGTGTTTCGTATGCGATGCAAGTGGATCCAACATGAAATAATTAATAAACCAATTAAATATAAGTGAAGTCCATCAAAAAAAACATACGTCATGATTTATTTATATACCAAATATACATGATTTATATAAGACACGAATCACCAATGGGTCTTTGGTCCAACAGTTCTCTTTATCTTATGAAGATTTTGACTTCTTGAAATCAAGAGTTCATGTCTCTTTCCCTCCTCATTCCCCCAAAAAAAATATAGATAAAAAAAAAAGATATATGACACGAATCCAATATGATAAAGATCATTAGACACGAATTAACAAACGAATGAAATATGAGTAGAGTACTTCTTGAAATGAATCCGTCTCACCCACAATTGACAGGCCTACATTGTATTTGAATATATTTAAATAATAACTTATTATAAAAATTTGTTAGATTTATAATTAAATTAACAAATAAATTCTGTATCAATTTTTTTTTCCCACTTAGCATACAATTGTCAGATTTTTTTTTGGTTTTTCCTTTTTGTCCAATTAAAATTTTGGGACTAATTTAATTTTCATGAACCTGGCACCCATGCATTAGACCCTCAAAGTTCTCGCATGGGGGTATATTACATTTGTAGAGATAATTCGTCGCTGAAGACACAGTACAATGTAAATGATTTTGATAAAAATATTGATAACTATTAAATTATGCTCTGTTTGATATGATAAAAAAATGAAAGAATAAAAAGTTGGAAGGATAAATAAAGCATCATGTTTGGTAAGGAAGGAAAATAGAAAAAATGAAAAAGTTGATAGATTAATTTTTCTTTCAACTCACTAAAATCAATCCCTCTAAAATAGGAAGAAAAATGGATGAAAACTTAATTATTTATGTTGAGATGTATTTTATTTGTCTATATACATACATTATGTATACATTAATTTCATATAAAAATATAATGATAAAATATGTATTTATACATATTTTTTTAAAAAAATAAAAAAATAGAATATTAACGCTAAATTTTTTATTCAAAGTTTATGTAGATCAACACGAATACGACACTAAAATAATCAGGTCAACTCGTAACTTGACACAACACAATTAGTTAAAATGAGTTGAGTTAAGTTTAATTAATATTTGACACAAATTCGTAATGAATCAACACGAATCTGACATAACACGACATGACTCGATTATCACTCCTAATCTTAGCTAGCACAAAAAAAAATATATAGTTTATTTTACATCCATCCAATCAAACACAAAAGAAGGAAAACGTATCATTCTTACTTTCTTTATTTGAAGGATAAAAAATGTATCTTTCTTACTTTTCATCTTTTATACCAAACGTAGCATTATTCTCTTTGAGATTATCGGATAAATTTATTGAAATCTATTATATTTTATATTATATATTTAATTCGCAAAATTTGGTGTTCAAATTTGTTGAAAGTAGCAAAGTTATTGGAAAAATTGACATTATTGACTATTGTTTGACTTCTTGATCAAGGACCTTAATGGTTGGGTACTAAGAATCTGTGATCCTGTAAGGCAAACTGGCAACAACTAAATGATAATTAATTAACTAATAAAAAAAAGAATAACTTATTTAATTTTAAAAGGTGGACAGTGAACATTAAGCAGACCCAAAATAATAAAATTAAAGTAATGCACAATGATTCCTTAGTGGGGGACACCATTTGTTAGTCTAGGTTTCTCAGAAGCATCATAATTGTCTGATTTTAATACATGAAATCAGATCAGGTCAAATTATGTTATGTTTTGATTTGAATCCATGACTAGGATTAGAGCTCCAACCAAATAATCTATTGATTATGATTCTAAAAATATTCTAATGAGCAGAGTTTGGTTGGTTTTGGAGTTTAATTTAAGGATAATTTTACGGTACTCAAAATAATTTCAGTATCGTATCGAAAATTACTATTTTTTGAAGTCAAGGTATACATTTTAAAGATGAAATTACTCTTTGTGGTAACTTCACCATTGATCTTGAATACTTTATTATAAGTTGTGATTTCACTTTTAAAAGTGTAATTTGATTTGAAAAAGTAATAATTTTACATATTTTTTTTAAAGTTTAATTGTTAGGAGTGTTCGTGTCAGTTTACGCGCATCTCGACTAATCTTCCTCTTTGTCCGGTTAGTTGCAAGTCATCCATATCAAGATTTAGATATTCATGAAAGATAAATTTTTCATGGCATAACCTCAAGAGATTGTAAAAATTCGAACTCAGATTTGAACTCATCATTATTACCACTTGAGTTACGTTTTAGGTTAATAACTTTATCAGATAGTGTAACTTTCACCACTGAGTGGAGTGGTTCAGTGGGGTACTGACCAAACTTCTCACCTTGAGATTGAAAGTTTGAGTTCACATTGGAGTTCGATAGTTGACTGCTATGCTAGCCTAGCTAGATTTGTTTCCAAGAGGAGTAACAGACGCGGTAAGGGGCCTTATAATCACACTAGTGGGGGCCTGTCGAAAGTGGTATTTAGACGCTCTCCCTTATTTCCACCCTTTTTTCGTTTATCAAAAAAAAAAAAAGGGATAGTGTAACTTCCATCAATTTTTTCAATTATAACTTTTACCTTAAAAATTTGATCTAATGATACTCTTTCCTTTATGAAAGTTTTCTCTTCTTAAAATCAAGGGTTCAAACCCCCTTTCTGCTTCCCCCTTCCCCTCCCCCTCCCGAGAAAAAAATCCTTAAAAAATTTCTAAATTTAGGTACGGTACCGATTTCGGTATTGTAGCCTTCCTCTTAATTTAATTGGGTGTCTTACATAATTGTTTTTGCATCCTAGAATTATTTGGTTCAACATAAATTTTATGATGCACTTAATATAATGCAAATCATGTGCATCAAGTACATTGAGGACCCAAACTTGAAATCCCAAGTACTTCATGCTCCCAAATTTTTACAACTTGTACAAAAATATGTTTTTGCTAATATTGTCTTGAGTTAATGTATGACATATAAGCAACTCAAAATTAAGTAATTCCATAAGAATTTCTACAATATCAAGAAATTAAAAGGAATAAAAACAATTTTTAGACACTTTTTAGTATAATACAATTTAAACAAGAATTAAAATCAAGTTATATTGATTTCACACTAAATTAAGTCGTTTATTATTTATATTAATAAATTGTGTTATTATTGAATTCATATTTTGTCAATCAATCAACTTTAATTAGTTAATTTCTACCTTTAATCTCTTTTTGAGTTCGATTAAAGATAGATCATTCATGTCGGGTTTAAAATATTTATAATAAATAAATTCTTCATGATCAAAATTTAAAAAATTTTCAAAATTCAAATATAAAACATCTAAATTTATAAATTATCTTTATTATCACTTGAACTGTCTCGGACTCTCGTGGCTTTTGTTCAAAACTTCACAAACAATATAGATGTGCCTTAGCAAATTCTTAGCTAAAGCATGCATATAGGTGAGACCATTATTGATGGCGCCATGTGATATAGGTGTACTTATGTGGTACCAATAAAAAATATTCAATATTGTATTAAAAAATTATTTTTTAAAAAAAGTTGGTAAATATTATTTTTGAATTTTAATTACATATTTAATAAGTAAATTTATAATTATTCGACATAATTCATAATCAATTATAAAATATTATAATCAATTATGAATATTCCTAATTAGTTATAATTTTGCATTATTTTAAAATTAAATATATTTAATATAGTTATAATTAAACTTTTAAAAATTAAAGATTTTTTGATGTGATAGTGACTAGGTTGGGTACCACAGTGTGTTTCTCAGTGACATAATTTCATAAATTTGAAATGATTGTGGGCCTTCAAATTAGCCACAAACGGCGCAGCAGGACTTGTCAATTGGTCAGGTAAATATGGCCCACAACACAGTACACATTTGTAGCCGATTTCATTGAATTTAGTTTTGCATATGACACTAAAGTTAGTGCCTTATAATTAAACTTTTAACTAAAGTTAGGTTCGTTTGGTGGACGTATTATGAGGGGATTAAATATTAAATTATATTATTTTTTATTTAATCAGACCTAATACTTTGTTTGATAAATAAATTTGACACCGTATTAATTTAAAAAACATATATTTATCGTATATTTTTTATACGTTAGACCTGTATTATGAAAGTATTTTAATATCACCAAAAGATGTGGTATTATAATTCAACTCAAACGTATTATTTTATACATTTACCATTATAACCCTTAAACTGATAAAATCAAATTATCATCAATGTAACAAACACTGATTAAGGGTATTTTTGTTAATTCAACATTAATACGATAAAATAATTCCTTAACCAAACAACCGATTGAATTAAATAATTACTATCCAACATTTATATTGTGTATTATCAAACACTAGATAAAATTATGTATTATTCTAATACCATATTTAGTCTTGTCTTTTGTCCTTCTGTATTGTATTAGAACGGATTATTTTTTCTAATCCATCCATTTCTAATACGGCAACTAAACGACCCCATATATGTTTCTACTCTTCCTCCCTGACTCATTTTTTTCATCCATTTATACTCAAATCCCTCTTAGTTTTTTCTATTCACACATCCACCATTTAATTTCCAACCACATACCAATTAATCCCGTAAACTCTTTTCCCTTTTTAC